TCCTCGAAATTCTCCGGGCAAGAATACTGGAGTGGGTTGCCATTTCCTTCTCCAGGAGATCTTCCCATCTAGGGATTAAACTGTGTCTCCCGCATATTCTGCATTAGCTGGCATATTCTTTACCGCTGAGCCACTTGGGAAGCCCCTCAACCCCTGGACCACCAGGGAAGTCCCCCAGACCCCGTACTTTGGAGGCTTCTGCCCTGCTTATCAGCCGGCCACAGGCCTCAGCATGGCCAGGAGTCTTGGAGCTTAGAGGATGGTCCAGAACCCAGGAGCCCTGGAGCTCCCTGCCCAGATAGCCTGCCCTTGGAGTCCAGGGTGGACGCAGGCCTCTTTCCTGGTGGTCCTCTGCATACTCCACTCCTGAGGGCCTGCCTGGTCTGCAGAGTGGCCAGGGCTGTATGCCTGTGGGCATGCTAAGGGCCCCCACGGTATGGGATGGGGCTGGGGGCGGGCTGGGGAGTCAGGCTTGGAGCTTACTGTGGCTAGAAACCCCCTGAACCCCACGTAGCAAGGCCCCCTGTAGGCCCTGTGTGGAGAGTACAGCCCAGACACTCGTGTGTCTTCCTGCATCTTCTGTGTGTGCCTGCCATGTGTGTGTCCGCTGTATGCCACCTCAGCCCCTGCATGCCTGGCTTCTGTCCTGGAAGACAAGATTCACAATGAGGGGGAATTCCTCAGAAACAAGAAGGAAATTCCTCAAGAATAAGAAGGCCTTAATAGTAATAGACTCTCTGTGGCTACAAGGTGGAAGCAAATGTCCCCTCCCCCTGTGTGGGGACTCTGGGCCTTGAGGACACCCCTCTGGTTCTTATGACAGCACCCTTCCCTCACCATGTCTCTTTTCCTTTGTCTGCACTGGGATTGCAGTTGCTCACGGTGACAGGAAGGCGCCATGGATGAAGTTCGTCCTTCCCGGAAGTGGGGCTTTCCTTGGGGCCAGGACGTTCATGGTTAACTGTGAAACTTCGTCTCTGTTCTTAATTTAAGTCACGTTGAAGTCTGTCTTTCTGGATCTAGTAGGAAATTGCTCTATGCCTCAGATTTTCATTTTTACCTTATCTTTAATGAGCCTGCAGCTGTGGTCCGTGGACCACCCAGTTGTGCTGTGACGCGCTGGTTCCCGGGTGTTAACCCCAAGAAGCAATGGCGGCTCTGCTTGGGGCGTTCATGATGGCTCGCTGTTTCAGGGAGCATCGTAGAAAGCGATGCCCTGTTTTCACTCTCGCTGCACCTGTCCTGGAGTGATGGAGGGGGGTGACTGGCCGAGACTTCTGGTCACCCCACCCCTCCGTGACTGCCCTGGGTCAGGCAGTACCCTGGGCACCTCAGTGCACCACTACACCTCTGCACATCAACTGGAAGCTGCTATGGAGACGATGTCAGCAAGTCTGGGAAATTTCATACATAATAAAGGCGAGGGGGCAGGGGGCGCTCCTTCATTTCCTGGGGGAGTTAATCATCTTATTTTATGTGGAAAATTCACCTGAGAAATAGCATGGTGGCTCAATGGTGAAAAACTGAAAGCATTTCCCCTGAAATCAGGAACAAGACAAGGGTGCCCACTCTCACCACTACTATTCAACATAGTTTTGGAAGTGTTGGCCACAGCAATCAGGGCAGAAAAAGAAGTAAAAGGAATCCAGATAGGAAAAGAAGAAGTGAAACTCTCTCTGTTTGCAGATGACATGATCCTCTACATAGAAAACCCTAAAGACTCTACCAGAAAATTACTAGAGCTAATCAACGAATACAGT